TTTTGCAGCCTTTATGTAAGTCCCATACTTGCTAAAAGTTTCCACTAGGATTAAGAGAAGATCGAAAATGAGAACAAACAGAAGCCAGGCATTCAATGATATTTTGGCTGCAACGAATGGTCAGGTATAGACTTGAATAATAAATATTGAGTATTTATGAGCATAATGTAAAGTAATGCAATAGAAGTCTTGACTATGCTAGAATCAACTGAAAATGTGCACAGCCACCCAGTCATGAGTAATTAAAGTGTCAGTATTAGAGTGGCAGCCTCTCTCATTCACAGCCTTAATCCAATATGAATTTAACCAAAAATTTTCAATCATAATGTTAAGTTATAACATGTGTACATATTTATTCTAAGATATCTTGTCATAGTCTTTATTAAAATGCTCAAAAGTAGGTTAAGCCTTAAGTGTAATATGGTTTGTATAGCGTGCTTGGAGATAAAAACATGAACCATGGTGTTTACCACCCAAGGAGTCTATGATTCATTACCAAAAGTGTAAGCCAGGGAACGAATGTGGGGGTGACCAGTGAAGGTCGGGGCAATGGCATGTTGCCAAGATACATTACTCTTGAATAACAGGAAGTGGCTCCAGACACATCAGCTTTTTTCTGCTGTAACTGCACCAATCAATCTGTATATGTATGGATCAGGCTCTATGGATCTGACCCTCTCCTGGAAATGAAGGACAGAGGAATTTTATCTTAAGATATTTACTGTCCGAATAGACAATTATAAACAAATTCAATACAAACCAAGTGTTTCTTGCAGAGTGACATTAATCTTGCATAAATAAAGGAATGGGATAATTTGATTACATTAATCAAATAATATTAATAAAATACTCATAGTAAAAATCATAGCTAATGTTTATGGGCAGCTCATGCCCATTATAACCACCATTTATCCGCAGTCACGTTACTGTGCTCTCTGTACTAGGATAAGAACTACCTTCATCATTTTGTAATAATAATCACATGAATTAGATTCTGTTAATAACATGAATTTAGTAATATATGCTGTGTAAACACAGAAAGAAATCAATGGGGGCCAGGAATATAGCTCAGTGGTCTAAGCACCTGCCTAGCAAGCACAAAGTCCTGAGTTTTGATTCCCAGTACCAAAAGAAAAAATCAATAGCTTAGTTAAAACAGATATTTCAGGAAGTTTAACATATTGGCCTAAGCTCACTTGAAAAGTAATGGAACATAAACTGAACTTAGGAACAAATTCTGAATAGAAGAAATATGGGAAGATTCTTTTTTTTTTTTTTTTTTGGTACTGGAAATCGAACTCAGAACCTCATTCTTGCCAAGCAGGTGCTGCACCACTGACCTAAATCCCCTGCCCCAGGATAGATTATTAAAAAGAGAGAAAAAGAATGTGCCAAGTACTAGGAATGCCATGCAGGAAGATATAGAAGCAAATAAGTCTGTACGTTTAGGAACAAAGGGTACAAAAGTCTGGGTAGGAGAGGGAACTCAGTAGGAAGGTACCAGAGAGAAGTATGTTTTTATAGAAGGGGAAGAAGAAGAGTTTAAACTAAGTTTATCCTATAAACAGCATGACCAGAGGAGAGTATTGTTTAGTGCATATGTAAACCAGCAGCAGTAGGAAGTATGGATTTGGTGGCAGGAATCTATTACTTCATGTGAGAAGCATTTGCAGCAGTTTAAACAGAATCATGAAGATCTGGATTCTAACTGTGTATGCAAAGAAGATAGAGAATATCAGGTAAGTATAAAATAGTTCCAAAGAGACCCTGGGGGTTAGCTCTCTGCTAGAGCACTTGCATACTGTACAAAAGATCCTGAGTTCAATCTCAGATGAGCTTAATCCCTGGTACCTCTTTAAACGTAGGCCATACCTATGTCACTCATTTCCTTTGCAATCAAATGGCTACAGAAGCAAAGGTAAAAATTAAAGCAGTGAAGATTGATAGGAAAGTGAAACAAATTATGATCTCATTAAAAGAAAGATAGATGTGGAATATATTGGTTTTTCCACAAGAATGCAAAATAAAAACATACAAAAGCTGCAGGAAAGAGAAAAACTTCACATGTAATGTTAAGTGATAGGGTTTCCTCAAAATGTGGGTAATATATGACTTTTTAAAAATATTGAAGTATGGTGCAAGTGTAAAATCAGCCTCAGAAATATAGATTTTTAAATTGTAGCATTTTTACAGAAGTACTTGGCACAAATATGAAGCAAGTTTGATGAAAGAGAAAATCTAGGTTCAAGTCATGACCATGAATTTGAAATTGAGCAAGAAGCTTAACATCTTGTAATTTGGGTACTCTGCATTTTAAATGGGGAAGATAATAGCCACCCCGAAGTTCTTGGGTTGTACAAAGGGAAAGGGCCTTGCAATCTGTAAAGCTACATAGACTGAAAGTACTGTGATACTTGTGAAATGGGAAGAAACTGCTCAAAAGAAAGGAACCACCGGGATGGGGGAAAGCAGGAATGACAGAAGGCAGAAGCATATAGGTAAGATAATTATACAACTAATTAGTTCTATTAGTTCATTGGAGATAAAGGTTTGTGTTTATATTGTTTGATCACTTTTTAATGCCTGTATCTTATAATCTGAGCATCTACTTTGAAGATAACAATATGTAAGGCAGTAACATTGTTATTCTCCTATTATCTTGTTTTGAAATTGTGTTTCACTATCTTTAAGGTTTTTGCTCTTTTAAAAAAACACTGTGACATGTTTAAAGCCATACTAACTGAAAGACAGACACTTAAAGCTATGTACTATTAAGCTTCAAAGTTGAGACTTTAGTCTTCTTGTCTTGAATGAAGGTTCATATCTTACTGTGCTACAGGGCAGGTGATTCATTACTGCAAACAAACACTAAATGGTCCACTGGCAAGCCTGCCTCTGAAACAGCAAAAATAATGTCAAATCTGTGTTAGTCACTTTCTGGTCACATATCTAAAACTTAAAGGAAGAAAAGAGTAATATTTTAGTTCTAGTTCAAGCTTGGCTCCAAGATAGGACAGTATGGCAGAGGAAAGGTGAGAAATCCATAACAGCAACACCTGCAGAGAAAAAGTAGTATTTAAAGGAAAAAAAAAAAAAAAAACGCCTTTCTAGGTCAAGGCACTCATGATGACCCAGCTCCAACCAGGCTCCACCTCCTAGGAGCACACCCAGGTACTGACCAATACGGCATCCCACCACCAAGCCACCTTCCAAACCTGGGAGACTTTTGCGGGGTACATTAGGTCTAAACCATGAAAAAAGCCTTTCTAGATCCTGGAAAAGATATCTTTGAATAATTGCCTTTGGGGTTTGTAGATTGAAGAAATATCATTTAAAGCAACAAGTAAGGGGGGAAAGCAGACACATTTCTTCAAAAGCTCATGTAATTGTGCCATCTGCATATGGGTAGAGCACACCTTAAATGGTTTATTCTTTAATTGCTGGTACCCTTAAAATGACATATTGCAAAGTTATAAACTGAAGCATTTAGGCATATTGTTTGATTTAAGCATGTGTGACAATCCATTCTGGATTTTATTAGACTCTTTTAAAATAGCAGCTGCATTGTAATAAGTATTATTACCTTTGGAAAAGCTCTAAAGGGAACGCCCGAATCAGGCACGTGCTCTTAGAGAAGCGAGGCTAGCTGTTTTCTGCGTCCTTACCTATTTTTATAGTATCGGTGTTTCATGTGCAAAGATTGATCTGAAACACATTTTACCCGTTATACTAACTTTGATTGAATGAGCCCTGGGCATCTTGCTGCTTCCCAAGTGGGTTACAGCTCGAGTGTGAGTAGATAATAAAAAGTGCCCAATATAAATTCAAAGTAACCTGTGATTACATTTTCACGTGGCTTCCTCCCTGCCCGTCCTTTTTGGTATGTTTGTCACTGTTTGAGCTCTCGTTTTAAATTCCACAAATGCCACTTTTCCACCTCCTAAAAGTGTTTGAAAAGCAACAAGGGAATTATGTTATTGTTTCAGTTTTCATCAGTGCTTTGAGCCTCCCCAGGAGACAATTTCTTGATTTTTCTGTATGGTCCCAGGACCTTGGACAGTGCCAGCCATAGAGCGTTTCTGAATCTACATTGGAACGTGAAGGGTTTTGTCATGTTTGTGTCTTGCTTCGCTGGAGATGCCAATTTAACACGCTTTATTTTGCTATGATGATTTCCTGTATGCAAACTACCCACAAGTTATCTTTGTTATTTTTAATGCAAAAGTTGAAAAATAGAATATTTTACAGTGACATTCATATATCAGCATACACATTTATTATTGTTTAAAGATATTTCTCTCCAGTTCCTTACAAAGTCACCATACTGAAGTAAAAGAAGTTTTATTGCAAAAAAAAAGTGCCTTCCAAAACTCACTCACTCTCTTTTCTTTCTCTCTTTCATCTTCAAGTACACAAAGGAATTCTTATAGATAGGAGGGAAGCTCCCACGCCCTCCTCTGGATAAAGAAAAACAGGAAACTGAAAAACAGGGGAAAAAATCACTCGCAGTTTTAAAATGCTATTATGCAATGGAGTGGCTCATGGCACACTGTAAGCTCATACATTCTGACCTCTCAGTCTTTCAAGCTGATATTAATAAATGCATTGTTCCTGGCTCCTGTTACTCACGTGCCTTGCGATAAAGACTGTGCATCCCAGCCACTGCCTCTTATTTCCACAGAAAACACTGGCACTTAATAAAGGAGCGAAACAAGTTAGCCAGGCTAAGGGTTGTGAAAAAGGTCTTTGGAAGCGGGACTCGCTGCCCTTGCACTGAACGAGTCGCGCTTTCCCGGGAGGCCTTTGTCTGCGGGCCAGGGCCCGGAGTTCCCTCCTCGCGGCAGCTACGTCGGAAGACTCCGCCCGGGCTGGGGGCGGGGAGGCGGCGCCGCGTGCGGAGCTCCGCGGCCGCAAAGGGAGCGAACAAAGAGAACTCCGGAGCCGCCTGGCGCATCTGGAGACGCGGATCACGTCCCTGAGGCTGCTGCACTCCGCCTTCCCAGGAAAAAGAGCTCCAGTCAATAATTGATGGAGATTAATCCTACCTGAGACAAAGCTTTGCAGAAAACCAATGCATCCGACTGGAAGCGCCGAGCTCAGGGTGCGACAAAGGAGTGAGGACTGTGAGCGCGGCCGCGGCGCCCGGGTCTCGGGCGTGGCTCCGGCCTCCTGCACCCCTGTCCAGCACCCCTACCTCTTCCTCCATCCTCCATCAACTTCCCTTTCTCTGGCTACTTCCACCCCGCTCGCCTGTGCACGCCCGCGCCCCAGCCCGGCGGGCGAGATCAGCTCCGCAGCGCGCTGCCCGCCCAGAGGGGGCGTCTGGCACCGCTTGGCACCCGGGTGCGCCCCGGCCCCGCCGAGTCTCCGACTTCGCCATTGTTCCGAGAGCCCGAGTGGGTGTGGAACCCGGCCCTGGAGTCCTGCTCGACCACAAAGTCTGGTCTTTAGTATTACGAAACTGAATTTTCCCGGGGTCTGACAGGCGTGGACGCAAATCTCTTGGTCTCCGGAGAATCGGAAGGAAAACGCTTTGGATTCGCGTTCGCTTGTTGGAGACACCGCCTCTGCTGAGAAGTGAGCGGGTCTGGATTCCTAAAGGGGATGAGAGACAGGGTGGGTTGGCCTGTAGATAAAACTTGTGCGGTGTTGATTTGGGCTGTCCTGGTTTGCTTGGGTGGCTGCTTCCACAGGGGAAGCCTCGGAGAGCTCTGACACTTGGAGGGCGTCACGTGACAGCACCCAGGCGCCTTGGACGGTGGAGCCCAGGTCCTGCAGCTGCCTGAGCTTTCTTCTGGGTGACGGCTTCCTGGGACAGAGTGGAAGCGTGATCTGATGCTTCTCACTCCTGGAATGGCTCAGTCTAATTAAAAACAAACTATAGTCACATTGGCACTATAGGATAGTTGGGTCTGACTCGTGCTGATGGACTGGCACACTTTCCAGGTAGTATGCTGTCCCCAGGAAAGGTAGAAAGTTGATGGGTAACTTCTCCCCTGTGACGTCTGTCTTCGTCTTTCTGTCCCAAAGTGAGATGGGAGAAAATCCCAGAACAAGGTGGAGACTTTCAGTCAGTTATGATGATGATGATGATGACGATGATGATGAGGAGGAGTATTACAAAATGGAAAATGGTTGTATGTTTAAAATATCTGAACTAACCCAAGTAAAGCAACCAGCATCTAAATCTCTGGTGAGGGTTCCCCCCACCCAGCTTTATGCCTACTGTGCCTTTTTAGTGCTTTAAAGAGAAATGTTTCCATGAAGAGACACCAAATTGTCTAGCTGACTAAGTGGATCACTAGGGGGAAAAAACCCAGGCCACCAGAAGCTTGCTGTTTTGCATACTAAAGAAGTCAGCGATGGATTTATTTTGGAAAGCTGCACAATAGAAACTGATCTTAACCACCAGGGTGGGTGGAAGATGCAACATCATCAGATCACCGAGGAGGGGCGGGCTCCTTAAAAGCAGGACAGCCTGCTACTCATCGCCTAAGGGCCTTAAGAATGAATCTATACGTCCTAGCTTGAGATCACATTAACAGTAAACGGACCTCCAAAAACTACAAAAACAGATTAGGAGTAGAAAAATTCATCCCCTGGAACTTAAGAACCACCCCTAGACTTTTCTTTTCTTTTTGCTTTTTTCCCCAGAAACCAGTCTGTCTGAGGTTGTGAATGACTACATCATACAGAGAGTTTCAATGGCCATTTTCTTGAAACTGAAGTTGATTTAAAGGCATTCATTATTTATATTTGCTTTTAGGCCTAGTATAAAGAAAACTGGGCACATTGCTCTAGAAACATTAGAGATGGGATCTGCTTGCGGGAAAAATGATGTCATGTATCCATGACAAACTTGCCTTACAAACCTGCTTTATGATGCTTTTTCTCTACGTGACGCATGCGAATACTAATTACATAAAACTTTTTGCACTAATCCGGCCTTTAAATATAGATTCAATGGCAAGGAAAGCAGAAGTTGAAAAACTGCAGGTTTGACAAATCAGAAGGTGCACAAGGTCCTTTGTTTATCGCCACCTCTTTTGTGTTCTGTCTCCTTTCCCAGCATTTCCTTTCTGAGGCTGCCTCTCGAAGTCCCTTTCCCAAACCTGCTGTCTCCAGAAGGTTCAGCTACTTTTCAGATCAGTCATTGTGCTGATTTAGAGACCGTGTCAGCGCCCCCTTGGGCAACATGAGAATCCACAGCTTTGCCTCGCGTTCCTAAAGTCAAAGCGCCTGGCAACGCTCCTTATTGGGGTGGGGTGTGGGGGATTCTGGCGCAAAGCTACTAGCAATGCAGACAGCGCGCGTCTCTTCTCTTTTGTTTCGGTCCCAGCTTGGAAAGGAAGGTTGGTGGCGGTGAGGAAGGAAGAGGATGATCTAGAGATGGACGGTTCCAGAGGCATCCGGTAGGTTCTTCCAGGACATCCATGAGTCAGCCACCGGCCGGGGGCGCAGCTCCCGAGGCTCGCCTGCACCCGGAGGGCAGCAGCCGGAAGCAGCCGCGAGCGCAGTCACCCGCCAGACCCAGAGACAATTCTCTCCGGCAGACGGCCGCGGCCACCAGGTCCCCCGTGGGGGCCAGTACCAAACTCAACTCGGCCCGGCCGCAGCCACCACCGCCGCAGCCGGGGAGCAAGACCAGCAGCCGCGGGGCGCCCACCGCCGGGGCCCGGGGAGGGGGCGGGGCGGAGAGGGCGGCGCCCCCGGCGCCCAAAGGCGCTGTCCAGCCCGCGCCAGGTGCTGAAGCTGCGCCCTGCGCACCCCCGGCCCCCGGGGGCCCTAGGAGGTCCGCGCCGCCGCCGGAGGAGCCTGCGCGGGAGCTAGAGCCAGCGCCCCCGAAAGTCGGGGAGGCCCTTCCGCCCGCGGAAGGAGGTGGCGGGGACCGTGAAGGAGGAGGAGCCGGCGGCGGCCCCGGGGAGCGCGAGGGGGGCGCAGCGCAGGCGGCGCCGCCCAGGGGCTGGCGAGGGCGAGGCGGGCGCTCGGCGCCGAGGGGCGGCGTTGGCGGCGGGGAGGGGGCGTCCGCGTCCGTGTCGTCGCCTCCGGGCTCTGCGAGCGGCCGAGCCCCGGGCCCGGGCAGCGGCAGGAGTTCCGGAAGCGGCGTGGCGGGGGGCGGCGGCGCGGGCTTCTGGAAGGAAGGATGTCTGCAGTCTGAGCTCATCCAGTTCCACCTGAAGAAGGAGCGAGCGGCGGCCGCCGCGGCTCAGATGCACACGAAGAACGGCGGCGGCGGAGGCAGCCGGGGGTCCCCGGTGGCCGCCGGCGCCCCAGGCCTGTGCGAGCCCCTCGCGGGCTCCGCCGCGTCCCCCATGGCGGCGGCGACCGAGGGCCCCCAGCCGGGCGCGGAGGCCAGCGCGGGCGCAGGGGGCCTGCAGCCGGCAGCGCCGCCCGCCTCGCAGTCGCAGCGGCTCCAGGAGCAGGAGGAGATGCAGGAGGAGATGGAGAAGCTGCGGGAGGAAAACGAGACGCTCAAGGTGAGGACGCCCGGGCGCGGAGCACCAGGGCGTGTCCGGGGGTGCGGGGCTGCTGACCTGTGAGGGGCCTGGATTGCAGATGGGGGAGGGGGGCTCCTAGGCCTGGAGGGGGCGGGAAGCAGCCTGCTCTCCCTGGAAACCCAATCTGGGCCTTCCATTCTCTAATCAGGGCCTGTCCTGCTTTTGCATGGAACGAGCCCAAGCGAGGCAGCAAGTGAAGGCCGAAAGAGGCCCGTTTTCTAGTTTCTTCCTTCCACTGCTTGGCACTCCTGTCTCATGCAAAAAGCCCCCTCCCCCACCGAGAAAATAAGATTCCAAGTTGGGATGGATGGGACGCCCAGGGGCTGGAAGCTACGCTTATGGTCGACCTTTCCAACTGTCACCGCCCCAGAACGAGATTGATGAGCTGAGAACCGAGATGGACGAGATGAGGGACACTTTCTTCGAGGAGGACGCTTGTCAGCTGCAGGAAATGCGCCACGAGTTGGAGCGGGCCAACAAGAACTGCCGGATCCTGCAGTACCGCCTCCGCAAGGCCGAGCGCAAGCGGCTGCGATACGCGCAGACCGGAGAAATCGACGGGGAGCTGCTGCGCAGCCTGGAGCAGGACCTCAAGGTGGGCGCTTTGGGTCAGGGCTCTTCCGACAGGGGTGACGCCCACAGCTTGAGGGACGCGGGTTTTCGCAGTGCCGGTCACAAAATGTCAGAAACCTGGAGAGGATTGACAGGTGGGTGGGAAGAGTGCATTGTAAGCGGAGAGAACAGTGCCTGGCAGAGCACGAGAGTAGGCGTGGGCCCTGAAGGTGGGGTGGTGGCTGCTGCTGACCTGCCCTGGCTCTTCTGGAAGCGGTGGGAAGGGGGTGCCTGCTCCAGGACAGACCCATGGGCGTGGCCCAGGCAGGATCCAACCTCCAGTGTCAGCCTTTCCAGGGCGGCCAAGTGGAATCAGGCACAGGAGCAGAGGACGTGACCCCTATAATAGGAGCAGCACTGTAATAGCAGAGTAAAAATTCCTTCCTGCCTCCCCTGCCCACCCAAACTCTGTGCGTTCTAGATGTAAGCCCTGCAGTAACTCCCAGAAAGGAAAAATCTGCCCAGGTTGTAGCTTATCTGGAGAAAGAGTTAAACGAAGGTTGATCTCTCCCGAGGGAGAGACCTCGACATGCAGTTTCAGATGGGGTAGATGTGTTCTCTAAGTTCAGTTTGACTATGGGCAGATTCGCTGACAGTGCCAACCAGATAGTAATTTCACCACCAGAGACAGACAGTCAAATGTACTTCATTTGTGTCAACTTCCTTAAAATACAAAGAGGAGATAGAATTACAGAGAGCTGGAGCATTCTGTGAAATCACTGTTGCCTTATTTTTCCTGCTTTCCAACACTTGCTGAATGTTGCATACTCAGGTATTAAGCACTATGGTCAGCGTTGGTGCGTGTATTATTATTTCCCAAAACTTGAAAGAAGACCCTAAGATCTGGCGGGTGCAGAAGCTGTGTTTTTTACACGGGTTGTAGGTCCACTGCTAGGAGGCAGCTAGACTCACAGCCTCTCAGTTTATAGACATGGTCAGCATGCTGACCTTCTGTCCCAGAATGGTTACTTCTCTTCCAAACCATCAGATTTCCAAGATAATCTCAAAATTTGGGGTAAAAATGCACAGCTATTAAAACTAATGTCAGAGCTAAACTATTTTCTAAATGTAACTAGAATTTCCTAAATTTCAACTAAAATTCTAGTTGTCCAATCAAAATTTAAGCCACACCCTCACATTCTTTAATGCAAACAATGGAAGTCTCTACCTCATAGCTTTCTTGTAGAGTTAGAAGATAGTTGTGATTTCTCCCAGTGTGGTGTAATGCAGTAGAATGTTTATTGCCATGTGTAGCAAAAAAGTTGAGAGAGCAAAGACCCGTCCGATGTGTGACCCTGAGTGCAGTGCTTTACCACCCAGAGCTCTCTTCCTGTGTAACACAGAAGTAATTACAGTGCCTGGCTCCTGGAACTGCTGTGGGTCCTAAGTGGTTGATACATATGAATGGTTTGTATGTAAAGCACTGGGAACCCTGGCTGGACCTGATAAGGACTTTGTAAGTGCTGGTTCTTAATACTTGCTGAGAGTGCTTCATTGTTGCAAACACTTTATTGTAGGTTGCTAAGGATGTGTCTGTGAGACTTCACCATGAATTGGAAAATGTGGAAGAAAAGAGAACCACCACAGAGGATGAAAATGAGAAACTGAGGCAACAGCTGATAGAAGTTGAAATTGCAAAGCAAGCATTACAGAATGAACTGGAAAAAATGAAAGAGGTTAGTATTTGATGGTGCTATGAGGTACTACCTTTTCTTTAGGTCTTTGGAAAAGAATTCTGTGGACTAATATGACTCCTAAAATAATTCTGTCTTTATTTTATGATCACAAGACCATTCTGGGTCTTACCTCATGTAGTAACAGGTATTTCATACTAACAAGGAATAGCAAAGAAAACGGTTTCACTTGAGCCTTGCCTCTGGTTTGGCGTACTGTGAACTGTGGCTTATGTTTTATTATTGGTTTTTCTAAATATCAGCCAGTTAAGTAAGTTACACGCACACCAGATGCAAGATTGTCAAGAACGTAAGAGAACAAGGCTTGTGCTGGGAGTTTTTATGGGATTAATACTGAGTTCATAGCACCGTGAACTTGTAGAATGGACAAGGCTAGAAGGGCCATCTGTCTACTTGGTCACTGCTTGAAGTTTCTCTGTCACAAGGTCCCTCTGGTGACCTGTGCTTAGCATGGCGCTGGTGGCTCTCCCTGAAGACCTTCCCCAAATTCCGTCACATCATAGCTCTATTGAAAGGCTTTGTTCTGAGTTGAAATCTGTTTAGTTTTAAGTTAAACCAATTCATCTTAGTCCTGTCCTTTTGGATGGAGCGTGAAAGTTCCTTCCTTTTGTGTGAGCAGGAAGTGGTTGATACACATGAATGGTTTACATGTACAGTACTTAGAACCCTTAGAACCCTGGTATGATAAGCACCATAACTCCTACTGTATTTACTCTGAGTCTTCTCAAAGAATAAACTGAAGGTCACAGAAAATAACTAGCAAAGAAAGAAGAAAAGATTTAATATTTATAATAAAGTAATTGAACGTGGATTGAAATAATACTTTTTGTTTGAAAACTACTTGAGTATGTACAGTGCAACTTCTAAAACCTTCTGTCAAGAATAGACAAACGTACATATGGCCTTCTGAACTGTTTCCTCTGGCTGGATGTGCAAAACTAAAGAAAATTCTTATGTTCCCATGGGCTGAGATATTGAGCCACCTGTGATTTCTGTGCTTATCTCAGAATGATGCAGAATGTTTACCATAAAGCAGTGGAAATTTCTATAGTTGGATTGAGAATGTGTAACTGTAAGGACTTTGTAGAATATGGTTTCATAAACTATTTTTTATCTGAGTGTCTGTTTATATTATCCTGACTTTGAATACCTTTTTAACAGGAAAATAGGGAAAATCCTTTTAGTGATCCACGATCATTGGATGCTAACTAAGGGAGGTTCTGAGGTCCAGTAGAAAAGTAAGGAGACTGAGAAGGTGTGACCATCTTTATCGACAAGTGTGCAGCCCTAAAAGCCTTCCAACTTCTATTTACCTCTGTGTATTTGATTGGAAACAGTAAAGCCTGTCTCAAATGATTCTCCACCTATTCAGCTAGTATGCCCTGTGTCATGAAATCCAACACATTGCCATTTAAGAGAAGCATGAATTTTTAAAGAAATCAAATATGAAATGGATATAAGTATAAGATCTCTTTGGCAGTAAGGTACAGTTTGAAGAGTGTGCAAAATGGAATGTTTTGTTTCTAGAAGGAAATCATGAAAAGTAGATAGCTATATTAGTTAACTGGGGTTGCTTTAACCAAGCACCAAAGACCCAGGTGCCTAAGTAATGGTTAATTTTCTCATCATTCTGGAGGCTGTGGGTCTGAAATTAAGGTCTCTACAGGGGTTTTCTTCTGTGGGCTTTCAGAGGCCTCTTCTTGGTTTGTATGTGGCTGTTTCTGTGTGCATCTGGCATCCCAGTAGGGTTGTCTGCTTCCAGATTTAGCTTCTTGTGAGAATACCAGTAGCATTAGATGAGCCCACACTGATGGATTCACTGTAACCTAATCACCTGTGTAAAGAACCAGTCTCCAACTCAGGTCTCATTCCAAAATATTAAAAGTTGGGAAACCATATGGGAATTTGGTAAGAAAGGTGGGAAGGGAAAATGTGATTCAGCCCACAAAAGTAGCTGTTGAACAATTTCTGTTTTTAGCTTCACTTATTTGTTAGTAAGTGTTAAAACTACATAATAATTACAAACATCATGGGAGTACGGGTACGTATACATGTTGCATGTTAATCGTTTTTACTCCCCCTTCCTTCCCTACCCTGGACAAAGGAAGAGAAAGTTCAGTGTGAGACTCATCGGGCTCCATTCCCTATTCCTGTCCCCTTGTATGCTCACACACTGTTTGCTTATATAATTACATTATTGACAAAAGGGCTTTCACTTGATTACCAAAGATAAAGTAGGAGGGGCTGGGGATTTAGCTCAGCGACATAAGCGCCTGCCTTGCAAGCAGGCAGTCACGAGTTCAATCCCCAGTACCGATAAAAGGGAAAAAGGCAAAAAAAAAAAAAAAAAAAAAAAAAAAAATAGGAATCCATAGTAATTCGGTGTCTTATAGATATTTTTCAGGTGAGTATCTGGAAAGGTGTGTTTAAGAATGGCATAAGAGTTTTCTAACTGTCAACCTATGTCTTGGGAAACAGAAAATGTTCAGATGGATGGGACCTTGCCCATCTTAAAATAAAACCCAGAATACTGTGTCAGTTAGGAGGAAGGGCAGGATTCTGGAACTGTCACCAGGAGAGTCACTGTAAAGATGAGTTTTAATTCTGTTCCCTATACACTTCCCTGTGACTGCTTAGAAGTTCTAGCTCAGTGTTGGGAAAATGCTATTTCAGCACCAGGTGGTATGAACAGTGTTCAAGCCAGACAAGCCGTTCCCCTCCCTTAGAGTTTCACTTGCTGAACTCTGGAGCCTGGTCGCAGAATATAATCACAAACAAATAGAACGTTTAGGAGCATAAATACCCTAAGGAGTACATCAGCTTTTAAAGTAGCTTTTTTATTTTAAAACGATAGCAATATAAAACAAGTGCCAGTGTAGATGCAAATAGGAAGGGAGAGAAAGAGTGGAATATAAAGATCTGAAGATGACTAAATGTAAACAGAAAAAAATTAAAAAAGCTCTGGCACCCATTTGATGTTTACCTTCATAGTGCTTAGGAAATTATCAGAAGAATGAAAGGTAATTTAAAATGTGCAGAAATCAGAAATGGTTCCTTCAAATAAGATATGTTTTGTAATGATAACTTTGTTATTCTCCTGAGGATAAATATTAAAACAGCTGCAATGGTAACTGCCATGGTAACTTGACTGGTATTTGATGGAGTGGACATTAACTCTATGCTTCCTTGCTTGTAAATTAAAAATTCATTCTTCTTGAGTGTAAACAACATGAACTCCAAATCCTTTCTGTCATTCCACCAGTGGAGAAAAAATAGAAAAGGCTAAGTTCTCTGTTATGAAGGAAAGATGCTAGTTAGACACTAAAATTGTGAAGTATTAAGTAGAAAATACTAAAGAGAAACAGTCTTCTGATTCCAAGATTTTTGTTCCTAGTATGGAGTCGTATAGATGTTGAACAGCCCCCCTGGGATCAGCAGGCCATCTGCTAGAGTTTGGAACATTTACTGAGACTTTAACTAGCTTCCAGGGTATTGACCAATTGCTCTCAGCACTAGTGGCTGCATAGAGTTCTGTGCACCTGTTCATAACCGTCTGCTCATCTTCTTCCTCTGAGAAAGTGGAGTAGGCACCCGGGAGCAGAAGAATTGAGCAGAGGCAGAGTAGAGGTAATTAGTTTCACTCTTTGCAATCCATTGCTTGTATTGAAACAGCTGATATTCTGTCAGCTTCAAACAAGAGGGACCTTTTAGGATGCTGCCTTCAAACTGAATAGCGTTCTCCTAGCAACTATAAAGCACTGGTTGCTACTAGAACTATGCTTTCCTGGTGCAGAAAAATGCATTTACCTCCTGTAACCTGGGAGAAATGGTCGTCTGTCTTTCAACGTCAGAAATGATTAGTGCGATAAAGGTTTCCCTACAGGTTATTTCATGGAAACAGCAAATGGCTCTTTGAGTGCCAGGATGGGTTTATGAGCCAGTATGATAAAGGGAGATGCAGAGGAGGCTCTCTACAAGGAGGCGCACATGTTCTGGGTTGAGTGAACTAGGTTGAGGGTCACCACCCTTCTCAGTTCTGCTGGGGTAGGAGGGAATTTTATTTTCAAAGCTTTAAAACCCCCTGGATCTTCAGGAGGGTGGGATCTTCTCCTGTCACTTTCAAAGCCTGATGCTTGTAGAGGAGTTGATGACAGACACTTGAAAAAAGAAGTCACCAACAGAGGACTAGAGAAAAGAAAAGGTGAGGTGAAGAGGAGAACTGCGTATCAGAGTTTCATTTCAGAATCTTTCTTTGTTTTTCTGCATTCTTGGTTTTGCCTCATCCTTCACACTTACATAAGAGAACTAAATGAAAATATTTTCTGAACTTTTTCCAGTCTTTACTCCAGGGGACTCTTAACTGGTTACTGCAATAGCATCATTTATCTTGGGACTTTCATTTTCTGGGACTTGGTTAATATAGCATGTCTAGGACAATGCACTTTCCTTCTAGAACACAAAAATAATTAAGGCAATAAATTTTAATGGTAGTGTCTCTATTTTTAATGGACTGAAAATCTGTACATGTGATTTTCTTTACAGATAGGATATTAGGCAAAGTCTTGCTCTTCATGTTTATAATATCTATTTATTTCCTTATATAAAGTCAAGTACTGATCATAACTACAGTTGATTTTGATAGAACTTGTTTATCAAAGCTATTAGGTACAGAAAAGAAATGCTTGAGTGATAAATCCATTTAAAAAGCAGCTCAAGAGACAGTTTCAGTGGGGAATTCTTTGTTGTGCAATATTTTCTCTTGGTTCTAGTAGTTTATTAAAATTTGAAAGGGAACAGTAGTCATTGTCATTTTAAAATTAAATGACTATTATTTTTAAATGTATCAATTAAACATTATTACTTTGGTAAGAGTAGGTAGAAGTCCTAGAGTCTAAATTAAAAATGAACTGTGTGCCAGGAGAGCATTGGAAAGCTTGTCTTCTAAGAAGTTATCCTGTATTCTGAATGAGTCTTTAAAGATG